AATGAGACTCTTTACTATATCTTTTTTGTGTTTGTTTTCAGAATCAGATAAATTGTAACTCGTTCAAAAATAAGAGAGATTTCCATGTAATTGTTACTATAGCTTTTCACTTATAGGGCATTGTGTACTTTTGCACGCATTATTTCATTTCTCCTTCATCTCATTCTCTTAGATCTTAAAAAGCTAATATTTAGAAAATGTACAATTTAGAAATTGATTTTTGACTGCAAACCTGGTGCTGTCTTCACTGCAGTTACAGATGTTGAGTGGGGCCTCACCATCTACTCAACTCTACGAGACATCTTTTTTATGTAGGTAAAGGTCAGAAGTTTAGATTCATTTCTACAGTGAGTGTTTTAATGATTTAGAGGTTTCTTGCCCGGGAGGGAGTTCTCAAACACGTTGGGGGAGGGGTGTGTTTTCAGAACATGCAATATCTCCATTTGTCAGTGGTCTCAAAGCAAGAGATCTCTCCTGTTCTTCCTCCTCCTCTGGGGAGCTCTAACATGACAAGGCTGTCTGGTTGGGCTGGAGAACACTCCAGCCAAAACCTAAGTGCCCAGCAAGGACAGGAAAACAGGTTGTTTGGGAAATTAATATGGGGTCACCATGTCAGGAAAGGACTTAAAAAAAAAAATGCCGAAAGATTTGGAAGAGAGGAACTGAAGACTGAGAGGGTGTCAGCATAAGGCCTTGGACGCGGCTGGGAAAGTCGTTGAAAGGAGAGTAAGGAGAAGTCGGGATTTCAGTAGTCCGCTGGAGCTGGCTGAGAGAACAGGCCTCAGTGAACAACATAGCTCTGTTTCTCCTCCCCCTTTCGTCAGTTCCTTCTGTCCTCCCCTTTTTGGTTAGGGGAAAGAACAGGCTTGTCAAAAGTATTACTCCAAGTGACTAGGGGGAAGTGAGAGTGAACGCAAGAAGATAGGGAAACGTATGAAGCACGGAGGCTGGCGACAAAACAGCCTGGCTGGGGTTTGGAAAGCTGCAGAAGAGGCGAATCGTCTTCTAAGCAGTAGGCTGAAGCTCTGTAAGGCAAGTGCCCTGGAGGAAGAACAAAGCCTTTGGGTAGCACCCAAGGCCTGCAAAGTGGTTTCTTTTCCCCACCCCACCGAAGCAACAGGGGCAGGAGGCCCTGTCAGTGAGTCAAAGGCTGGCGGTTTCCCCCATGCCAGCTTTCCATGTTTTTTCTCACACTATTTCTTACCCTGTCCTCTTGATACCCTCTGCCAGATGTCCAGCCTCATCACCCTCAAAGGTGAATGAGTCTGGTGGACCTTTTTCCTGCCCAACACCAACTGTGTGTGCCTCCCCTAGCTCCCCCAAAATTTCCAATTATTACAAATTTGCCTAGGGAGTCAATTTGCAGTCACCACCACCACCCAGTCTCCAGGCTCCAGTTCAGCACTGTCAGGGTCTCCCAAGAGCAGAGTCGGCACTTGAATGACCCTGACAACCCTGAGATGGAGGGCCTCCTTAAATTTGCATCCTAGGCCCTGGCTCACCTTACCCCAGGCACGGCCCCGCTAGGCGGTCTGCTGAGCTCCCACCTCCTCCCTTCTTCCTAGTCTCCAGGTTGGATTGAGTTCCTGCTGGCTGACTGAGGAGTGACTTCTGGGAGCCAGAACATCAGGAGGGAGGCAGGGAGGCCTACTTTGTGGCATCTAGAGGTTAATCTTTGGGGGTGGGGGCAATGACAGGGCTTGCACAGGGCTGCATGACTCTCTCCCCCAGCTGTCTGGTGTCCCCTACTCTGTTGCAGCCTTTTTATCAAGAGAGAAGAGCTGAGAAGGGAGGGAGGAGTAGAAGAGAGGACTGAGAGAGGAAATCAATGACACAGCCAATACATCCTTTATTCAACTGAAAGGGACCAGAAAGAGCATATTATAGATCCCTAAGGATACAGATGAAGGTCCCTCATTGGGTAATCCACGGGAAGTTCACAGTCCATCAGAGGGAACCAAATCAGACAATAGCTAGAAATCTGGCAGGCACAGAGCAGTTGGACTGAATGGCAAGTGGGCATACACCCCCAAAGCTTCCTGGAAGAGGGCACTTTGGCATGCAGTGTCATGAGGCGTGGTAGGAAAGTGGTGGCAGGGGAGGGCTCGGCTGAGGAACATGCTGAGCACAGTGACCATGGGTCACGCTCAATCTCCCAGGCCTGTAACAGCCAGTGCCTGGCACATAGTAAGAAAACAAAAAATGGCTTGTAGAATTGAAACTGATTCTCAGGAGCCACAAGAGATGGGAAGAGACTCAGTAAATCAAAATAGCAAAAAGTAGAAAGCCACTGTGGAAGCTGCATCAAGAGAATAAGAGCCTGTAGGGAATGGAATAAAGAGCCTGGATTTGGCTGTACTGGCAACCTTGCCCAAGTTTGGATGTGGGGAGGTGTATATAACAGACAGAAAGAGATGTAGAGTGGTGAGATGGCAACTGAGCTGCTATAGCCAAGGAATTTGAGGGAAGAAAGTGGGAAGTATGAGGAATGGACTCTGCTTAGTAGGCTTAAAGCTGACAGAAAAGAAACTGGACAATATGCAGAGGAACAGGGAGTGAGTGGGCTCATGATGGAATGGAACTGGCCAGAAGCTTCAAGAGAGAAACTCTGATGGAAGGAGAAGAATAGGGATTGGGAAGAACAAATACCCCTGGTAAGGTGTGAATTCCCCAGGCAAAACAAAACACCAAATCAACTGAAAAAGAGAAGTGGGAGCGAAAACTGGAGGAAGAGCTCCACTTGCTGGGAAAATGGAAGCAGTGACAGGAAAGGAAAGAGGGAGAGAGCCTGAGGCCTGTAGTTGAAGAATGCCATAGCAAGCTTCTCTGCCTTGGAGAGAGGGACTCATCACCTCCCCCAAAGAAACTTAGGTTCATGGTAACCCTTTGACCTTGGAGATCCCCACAGAGGTGGCAGGGTGCAACTGTCAGTTCAATCTGTTCTTGTGAGTGTGCCCAGGAAAGGAGCTGGAAGAGGTAACAGGGCCAGGGCCTACAAGACAGATCCCTTCCCACAGCCTGAAGAATTTTAAAAGCAGGAGAATGCATTTTTGACATAGGCACCATGGCTGAATTGGTTACCTCTACCTAGTAAACAGAGTCTGGGTTCAAATCTCCCTTGTGTCACATCTTACTACATGAGCCTGGTTCCCTCTTGTGTCCTAGGGGCTCTCTGGTGCTCCTGGTGCCCTTGCCCATAAGGTAGGCCAAATCATGGTTAGATATGCCTTTCATGGCACCTTATTGGTGTCCAATGCAATTGTGAGGTTGAAAAACATGGGTCCTTAAGGGCTTGAGACAGCTGGCCTCTTACTCTCTACCTCTGTGCTAAATGCCCACCCTGCCTGTCTCCAGGGCAACTTATTAGGCCTGGAAAAGGACCAGATAACAAGCAAAGGAGGACCATTTCCTTGGGTGTCAGTTTTTCAGTTTTACATTGGATTTCCCTTGAGCTGTCTGCTCTTTTTTGTCCTTTCAGATTTCTGGACCCACAAATCCTCAGCACCCATTTTAGAAGCTCCAACCCCAACGAATCACAGCAACTTGGGAGTTGCCCCACCAGTTTCTGAAATTGGTGACTAACCCAGTCCTTTCACTGACTTAAGGGTGGAAAGACCTTGGGACTAAAGGGGAACAGAACTGAGGAGTAACTAGCCTAGAGAAGTTTGCAGAAAATAAATCTGACAACCAAAGTGTGAAGAACTCCTCTCTCCCCATTTGAAGAGGGTGAGGTACCACTGATTGAAATGGAATTTGAGTCTCCTAGCCAGTGGTTCTCAAACTTTAGCATACATCAGATATCCTGGAAGGCATGTGAGGTTGAAAAACTTGGGTCCTTAAGGGCCTGAGACAGCTGGCCTTACTCTCTACCTCTGTGCTGGGCTCCACCCCTAGAGTTTCTGATTCAGTTTGTCTGGGCTGGAGCCTGAGAATTTGCATTCCTAAAACAAGTTCCCAGGTGATGTTGATGCTGCTGGTCCAAAGGCTACATTTTGAGACCTGCAACCTAATATAGCACTCCAGGGAACAGAAGGAAATTTTGACAGCTCAGGATCTCCAAGGCGTCTAAGGGAATAGATTTCACTTTTCTGTTATTGCCCAGCCCCTCTCACACCAGTGCACCCATCTGAATAGAGATGGAAAGAAGCTGTCTTCTGGCATCTCTGGTTCTGAGTCAGGGCTCACCTTGCCCTTGATGGAAATAAGAAACAGTGGTCTGAGTGCAGGAGTGCTGGAAAAGGAAGGATTTTGTCCCAAATTATCACCCCTTTAGCTCCCTGAAGGCATAACATCACTTTAACAAGGGAAAAGCTTTCCCTTCCACTTCCACTATCAGAGCTGAAAGGCTTACAATGTAAACAGCTCTGGGAAAAGCTAACACTTTGGGTTATGTTCTCCAGCGTAAGGGATGCTTTGCATAGATACTTTGATGGGGGGAAAGGAGAGGACACTTGGGCCCTGAATAGGGTAGAGTCACCATAGAGGGGAAAAAAGGGACAGGTTCCTGAAGATGGACTTCTCTATTTTACATTTTGCCCAGAGAGAACACAGAGACATTTTTTATTTAAAGGGAATAGGGTGGACATGTGGCAGAGGGAGTTGGGAGGAAGATGGAAGTTTGAGGCTCATTCCCTGTGGGAAAAATCATTCACATCTATTCACTCGTCTGATGGCTGTTGTTTATTTTATTTTTTGTCCAAGGGAAGTGGTGTTGGACCGAGGTAGAGAAGACAGTGGTACAGCAGAAATGACCTAAAAGGATGCCCCTTCTGCAGAAGGCCCTTAGACTCCTGGATGCCATTCAGTTGGGTGCTATGACTGCACCCACACTTGGGGCCTTCACTCTCTATCCTAACAATTACTAAAACACATCAAAGGCTGGAGGTTAATGTCTGCTTATTAAGAGGTGTGATATGATAGTAACAAGAGTCACCTCCCACAAGTCTTTAAAACAAGGTTTGTGAGGAGCTGCATTTGTCAGCATGTCGTATTTTTTTTTAAAAACATAGAGTAGAATGTAAGCAATACCGTTCTAGTCATTAAAGACCAGACTCTATCCTTATACCCTACTGCCTCTGGTATCTTAGTCCTTAAAATATTTAGTGATCCTTGCCTTGTAATTCTTGACACAAATATATATAATGACCATTGGGTCAGGGTAACTCCTTTTCTTTGACCCCAGTTTACTGATTCCATGGATGGGCTCTGAACCTGCTAAATGTGTATGCAAAACAGTGTGAATTGCTAATGTCTATCTGTCTCAAAAATGAGTTTCTGGTTTTTAGCAGATTCTCAAAAGGATCTGTGACCCAAAACACGTTCTGAACCACTGCTTACATAGAGATGATTTGCATTAATGAATGAGGCATGGTAGGAGGGTAAAAGAAATGGCATAGTCCAGTTTTACCACTGGAAGCCAATACTTTCCTATTCCTTGGGGCATCTCCTAATCTTGATCCTAAAATGCTCCTGTCTCTGAGGACCTAGGACAAAGCCACCACAAAGGGCTGGCCATTTTTTCTCTATTCAAAGGAACATAGCAAGAGAAGTACATTCCAGGCAAAAAAGGAAGGTGGCTCTGAGCAGCAGAAGGGAGGCGGGGGCTGGGTTGCTATCATATCCACTCTAAGAAGCCCATTCAGCAAAATAATCCTATTTTCAGCTCCATCTGGGGCCAGGACTCTGAGGAGCTGTGATTCACCCAGTTTTTCCTAAGCAAATGGGACAGTCATTAAACTAGATTGTTGCAGCTCACTTCTTGCTTCTCTGGTTAATTCCACAAATTGATGAGAAATAAGCACGTTAAGGAAAAACCAGAATCTAAGTATTAAAGAGAAAATATCCCATTTCCATCCTCTTTGCTCCTCTCCTTCCCTAACCCCAAACTGCTCCTACATACAAGATAATTTTTAAATTATAAGACTGGTATTAACACATCATCAATAAAGAGAAACAATGACCAACTCATCAACTAACAGATGCTAGAATACTTATGCAAGTCCCGGAGTTAAGAGTCTTAGGGTAGACACCTTCCCAGAATTGGGAGGAAAACCAACCAGAAAGCTCATTACCCTGTATCAGCTGAAAAGCTTAAAGCATAGCCATTTCCCCTAGAGTTCTGTTTCTGGGAGAATGAGATCCTCAAGAATAACTCTGCTCCCTCGATGAGGCAATCAAGGTCAAACAAGAGTGATGACAATAACCTGCAACTGTGATTCCTGCCCTAATTTCCCAGCACTTAAAACAGACAAAAAACCTACTCAGCGCAAAGCTTCTATACGCACTTTGCTTGAAATCAACAAGAAACAGCTCACTTCATTGAGGATGTCTCTTTCTCCTTCCTACCAGGCAAAAAGAATCTGCCCCAGAGAGTCAGACCTAGACATACATATCCACAGTTGTCTTGACCTCAGTGATACTGGGGCAGGCTTTATACCTCGATACCCACAACTTAACCCATCACTTAACCATTTCCACTAGGGCTCCCTTAATCATCACTCAGGTTACTTCCTATCTTGAAACAAAACAAAAAACCCCCATACAATCCCCACTACCCTCATCCCCAGAACACAGCCCCTAGAACATCTAGCTTGTACAGTTTGCACTTTGCATGCTCTCTTCAAAGACCCTGCACACAGATACACATAGACACATAAAGACACAGTCAAGAGGAGAGGGGTCTGTGCAAGGGGATAAAGTTTTTTTCTTCTGTGTGGGCCTGGGTTACTTAGGGGTATAAGGTTCATCTCTTAGCATTGTAGTGTGATCTCTCAGCTGGATATATGTATGTGCAGGATGAAGGGAATAGGAATAAGGGGGTGAAAAGGTTATTCTTTCTATTTTTCAGCAGGTGGGGGTGAGAGATGTGGATGTATATTCAGATGATAGGATTAAGGGTGATAGACCCACACAGGAATGAGGTCTGCCCCTTGGCTTTCATTTGGATTAAAAAAAGGGGCTCTGGGTGCCTGATCACTATCTCTTTCCTGTTTCCTCATTACTCTCCAACCCAGTGTTCACCAGAGTGTGTTTCATGGAGTCACCAGTTCTGCGGGATGTGAGATAGAAAAGACACTGAGGTCAAATAAATTTAGGAAACACTGCATTAAAAGAGGCTTAACAATTTGCTCTACTGCAAGTTTTCAGAGCCTTTGATATGCTAATACAGTCTCTCTCTCTACAAATAGAGAGAATATAATAGTTATGGTATACAAACGTGATACTCAGAATATTTAACAACTGGTATGGCATAGGCTCCAACCACTTAGAATGGACCTCAGCCATAAACTGCTAGTACCACTGTACCCTTGAGAATGGGCTCAGGCTGAATATCAGCCCATGTAAGCATTGTTTCCCAAAAGTTTTGCCCAAAGAACTCTATTTTATGTGGTATCTCACAGAACTGGTGAGAAATGCTCTGGCCAATGCTGGAACCTCATCTTTCCAGGGATGGGGCCAGGGCTTATGGTTCTGGCCACTGGGGTGCAAGAGCGGGGCAGCTCTGGCAGAGACTCCTGATAGCACCGGCTGATGGATGTGACCACAGCTGCAGCAGAAACAGATTTCAAAAGACAGATGTCCCTCTGTCCCAGCTGCTCCGGGGACTTTGTCCCTGATGGGTCAGCAGGTGCCTGTCCAGGTGATGTTTACGGCCGAAGCTCTTCTCACAGCGAGGGCACTGAAAGGGCTTCTCCCCTGTATGGGTCAGCCAGTGTCTCACCAAGTGGTGCCGTCGGCCAAAGCTCTTCCCACACTCAGTGCACACATGGCACTTTGGCACCGGTGGGGCACGTTGTCGTTTCCTAGCCCCAGGGCTCTCTCCAACCTCTTGGCCCTTGCAGGATTTGCCTTCTGTGTGCACTCGCTGGTGGCTGGCCAGATGGGAGTTGCATCGGAAATTCTTGCCACACTCAGAGCACCTGCTGGGCTTGTCATGTAGGTGAGTTTTCTGGTGCCGGATCAGGTGATGTCTTCGCCCGAAGCTCTTCTCACACTTGAGGCAGCTGTAGGGCCTCTCCCCAGTGTGTGTTTGCTGGTGTCTGGCAAGGTGGGAGCCCCACACAAACTGTTTCCCACATTGAGGGCATGTGTGCGGTCTTAACAGGGAATCCATCTCTGTGCTACACAGAAGGTTTGAGAAGCTATCTTCCTGAAGAAAAGGTGGGCCCAGGAGCATTCCCCTGGAGCTCCTGGGCATGGAATCCCACCTCTCATCCTGCTCTGGGTTCCAGAGCACAGTATCTTCGGACACACTAGATAACATTCTGGGAGGTTCTGCTTCTAGTTCAGGGGTATCTCCCTCATGCTCACTTCCATCTCCTGTGGAGAAGGGAAAATACGGATCCCAAGAGGGAAGTCACAAAAGAGTACCCCAGGACCCAAGTCACAGGTGAGGTTGCATGATACCTGTTAGGGCATAAACCTCACCCCACAAGTCCTGAGAGAACAGATGCTAATGTTGTACAAGACAGTGCAAGAGGTGTAGAGGTTGAAAGCCTAGGCTTAGGAGGCAGAGTACCCAATTTGGAATCTCAGCTTTCCCATTTAATGTCTGTAAGCTTCATTTCTTCTTCTGTAAAATGGGAGTAATTATAAGACAGGTGTTATAAGGTAGAGAGCAGAGCACTTGTACATGGTAAGCACTTAGTGAATGGGCTATGTTATTGTTGTTATTTATTTATTACTTTCATTTATTTACCACTGTTTTTTTACTATTAATCACCATCTTCCTGCCTAAGCATAGATGGAGAGAATTAAGGAATGTGCTGCAATCATTACTGGCTGAGTGACCACCTGTCAGCAATACTAGAGACTCTGTGGAAGGCATTTCCACAATGGGTGGGGGGCTGAACAACAACAACTAACATTTATTGAGTGCTTATTATGTGTCCAGTACTGTTCTACTATGTTAACATATTTAAGTCTCACAATAATTTAAAGATGAGGAACCCAAGGAGAGGTTAACTACTTTTTCAAGGTCCCATAGGTATGGTCCTGGATTCAAATCCATCAAGTTGGCTCCAGAGCCTGCCCTCTAAACCCTTCTGCTACACTGTCTTGCTTTTGAAGAAAAAGATCTCTAAACCCTTTGACTCTATAACTCTCTGAGGCAGAGGAAGGATTAGAAGGACATGTAATGATGACACTCAAGAGGGGTAAAGGCAGTGGCTGAAAGTCTATTCTAGGTCCTTACCTGTATACGTGACCCTCAAGATGTCCCTCTCCTCTAAGTCCTGGGGGTCAGGGACCCATTGTTCTTCCCCTCCTTCTAGTTGAGAAAGCATGTCCAGTTTGGGAATTGGAAATCCTGCCCACAGAAAAGGAAAACAGAGATGTTAATGAGTTCAACCATAATATTATATTTCTGAAAAAAAGCTGTTTTTCAGATTATTCCTTGGAACTCTAGACAAAAGAAGGCCAGATTGAGGCCTTCCCCACCCCCCTTCCCATTTTTAAGTCCCCCTGCTTTCTTCTAGAAAATCACACTCTTTCCCAATGAGTCTGTTCTCTTCCACTTAAATTTCAAATAATTCCAGCCCAACTGTCCTTTCTGGTCATAACTTCACTTAAGTAGCCCGACTACAGCTGTCCCACCCCTTGCACTCCCATCTTACCCTATATGGTTTCTGAGCGTCCAAGGACTCAGTTCCATCTCTTAGATGTCCTTTTCTCTGCTTTGTAAGAATGTCCCAATTCTCAACCAAGAAGAGCCTAAAGTCCTCTTCTCCATAATTCAGCATTATTTTGCTGTTGTTTTTAAACAATAACACTTCACTTCCATTCTCTTTGGATTAGCCCTAGTGCTCTTTCTCTGATGGAAGCCTAGACAGATTACCTCCCAAGGAAAGAACCCAAGACAGACACTATCCAACACCCTTGGAGCAGATGGCTCCATCCTCCTAGAGTACAATCTTTTAGTGGCTGGGGAAGGTCATGCTTACTTAGAGAGACCACTATCCCACAGTTTTCCTGCATAACATATTCTCCATAAAAGTCTGTCTGAGAGGGGTCCAGGCTCCGCCACTCCTCCTGAGAAAAGCACAGTGACACATCCTTGATGGTTACCAGGCCCTGAAACAAAATGTAGCATCATCTGTCAGCAACTGTTCCTTAAGGAAAATGTGTTCTCAGTATAAAAGGGTGAGGTAGGAAAGGAAGGAGAGCAGGAGAGGGCCTAGAAGAAGAATTGCCCAGAGGTCCCTGGTAAGGCACATAGTTTTGGTGAAGGGGAAGTGAGGAGACAGGTAACAATAATTGTCAGTGAGTAAGTGAGGATAATGTCTCTAGAGGAGCTTCCCATTTGGGACCATGAGAAGTAGGAGGCACCACAAACTCATTGCTCCTTCTGTTTGACTACAGGTGTCTGCCCAGTCTCTTCTCACCTGCCTTATTCTTTTCATTGCAGAAATTGTGTACTAGCTTCTCCTTCCTCCACTTGACCTTTCCTTTTCTATCAGCACAAAATGATACAGATAAAACATTCTTTCTCTCCCCCACCCTGTGCCTTATCTTTTGAGGCAGCATTGTATGGTGGTTAGGAGTCCAGATTCTGGAGCGAAATGACTCCTAGCTCTGCCACTTATTAGCAGTGTGGCCTTACACAAATGCCTTAATCTCTTCCTGCCCTATTTTCTCAACTGTAAAATGGGGACAATTGAGTTTCTCTCAAGGTTAGATGAGTTAATATACATAAAGCACTCATCATGGCTCTCTCATTGCCTTCTGAATCTTAACCTATTTTCTCTCTCTGGCTCTCCCCTCTGTACATCTTTCCGTCTTCTCTTTTTTTCCATAAATGCTCCATCATCCACCCAATCCTGTCCACCTGATGTTCTTGCAAGCTTCCTTCAGGTCTTATATATATATATATATTTTTTTTTTTGCTGGGGAATAGTCACCCTGAGCTAACATTTGTTGCCAATCTTCCTCTTTTTGCTTGAGGAAGATTCACCCTGACCTAGCATCTGTGTCAGTCTTCCTCTATTTTGTATGTGGGTCACTACCACCACATGGCCACTGACAAGTGGTGTAGGTCCGCGCCCAGGAACCAAACCTGGGCTGCTGAAGCCGAGTGTGTCGAACTTAACCACTAGGCCACAGGGCTGGCCCCAAGCTTCCTTCAAGTCTTCTTAATCTTTACAGGTTTATTTCTTAAAGGACATTAATGAATTTTTCTCAAAATTCCCCTGTGGAGAGCATAGCCATACATTTAAAAAGAAAAAAACCTAAGCTTTAGGAATTCCCCACTTCTTGTTATGCCTCCATTCATTTTTTCAAGGGTATTATGAGCCTCTTGGAAAGGGATAGAATCTGTTCAGCTATAAGATGAACATACCATTAGTGATCATGTGAAACTACAAATCATTGAGGTGATGCTAAGGCTACAGAAAGGCAGCAGTGATGAGACCCTGGGAGAGCCCAAGGGAAGCACACAGCTTACCTGTGATCCGGCCGCAAGAAGTGCAGCTGCCATCTCCCAATCTCCGGTGCTCCCCTCCTGGGGAATGGCAGGAACCCAGGGAGCTGACTGAGCTGGTGAATGGAGAGAGGAACCATTAGAGATGGACCATCCACTCTTTCCCAGTAAGAGCCTGGGCCCCATTTTAGAGGGGCTCAAGGGTCATATTTTTTCCTATATATATGCCCATTGGTAAAACTCAAATGCATAAATGTAGTACAAGAGACCTTCACTCAAGACGTTCTGTAAGGGTATTAAGTGATTTTTAGTAGAGCTTTTATGTCATCCATCTCTACTAGACTAGCTGTGGTTTGAACTGATATTATTTGAATGTAATTTTCATCTTGCAAAGTGTGTTTGCAAAACACATCTTACCGGGTGTGTTCTCCAACAGTAATCAGTGTTGCTGTCACTTCTTTTGTCTCCTACATTCAATACCACTAACCATGCACTTGCAGCATGTGGAGGGAGTGATTATACAAGAAAAAGGTGAAGCCCAGTTATATGGTTTGCAGAATCCAGGAGCTCCTATATTCCTGTGGCCAGGGCCCAGGAAGAAGGGACTAGTCCTGGCATTTGTTATGATGTTCAGTCCATGGCAATTTGGGGATTAACTCTGCTTTTTGAAAAGAGGTTAGGAGACTACTCTGCACTGTGCTTCCCACACACATGCCCTCCAGGCTCTCACCCTTCTCCTGAAAGGACTGTGGCTCCTCTTGAAGATCACAGCACAGGTGCTCCAGTGGCTCTGGTGCTGTTCTCCATGGCCCCTCTTCCTGGGTTCCCCTTTCCACCTGGGGCTCTGCTCCATCCAGCTGGACATTCATTGACTCCCATCCTGTCCCCAGGGCTGCTGTCTGTTCTGAAAGCATTTTTGCTGCAAACCCAAATTGTGACCTGGAACAAATTCATATCAGCTGTGTCCATGAAAATGGAAAGGAGTGATATTCCTAACAGAGTTATGGAGAACAGCACAGGGAGAAAAGATGAAACTGGATAAGAGGAACTTGGTGGAAGATGAACTTTAAAAGCTTGACGTGTGTTCCAATCGACTGAGCCTGAGCCAAGCTTCTTGGAGGAACTAAAACATGAGCAGGTGTGACATAGCAAAGTCACTAATGGATACTTTGGAGACCTCATCGTAGAAACAGAATATCCCCCGAAGACTGGAAGAAATTAATTTAAAAAAAAAGAATAGTCTTGGAAATTGAAAAGCTGCCCATTAATTTCAACCACTGAAAATACAGTAAAGTCGGCAATCTGGAAACATTCAGGAAGCTGTGGATACAGACTTGCACTCAAAAAAACTGGATGTAATCATACATAAGATTTTCTGCCACAAGTCCCATTCTCATCAATTAGTTTAGAATGAAATGATTACTGTAGGTAGAAGTCCCAGCCAAAGAGCATATGTATCATGAGCACACACCTCCTTTACGAGGCTGAACCAAATGGTGCCTCACTTAGGACAAGCCTCAACAAAGAGACCTATGACCTGTCATTCTGATGTAGAAAATGAGAACTGGTAGTAAATATGGTAAAAAGACCAATAACTCAGAAAGTAGGTATAAGACCTGAAAGCAACCCTAACAGATAAGAGAAATTGTTGCTTAGTGAGGAGCTGATGTCTAATTGGGAAAAGTAAAAAAGAACAGAAAGGGTATGAACCAGAAGTGGAAAAAGGAGAAGCAGTTGCTGCTAACACGACCCTGGGATGAATTAACAGCCCTGTGATTTAAGACACAGGAGAGAACCTGAGACACAGGAAAGAACCACTCAGATCTCATTAGAAAAATATATTCAGTTTTAAAGAAGGGTATGGAGGAGCCAGAGTGTGTACATCAAAGAAACAAAAGTGAAGAAAGGGATGGGAAATACGGCCATTGGGGAAAAGTTAAGAATAATGGACAGTTTTATCTTGCCTAGGGAAAAAGGCTGATGAATGACACTACCAATGAATAAAAAAAGAGATTCTGTCTTCTATCTCTATATAGATCTCTTCTCTTGACTGTAAGGGAAGAGATTTAGGTTAGATTAAAAAAATTCTTAACAATAATCCTGTAGTGCACAGGGCCGGGTTATGGGTTCTTGTTTACTCTGGACATCTTAGAAGCAGGACAGGTCCCACTTGTATTGTGATAGGGGCCTCCCTGCCTTATGGCAGAGAAATAATCTATAAAACTGCAGAGTCCCTTTCTGCTTGGCAACATCATATTTTTCTAATTCTTATTCAATACCCAAGCAGTCAGAGCCAGTTTTGAAAGTCTTCCAAAAACAGGTCAGACCCTTGGTAACTATCCTGGCTCACTCACATCCATCCAATAATGTATGCAAGAACCCAGAAGTTGAGGATAGGTAATGACAGATGCTAAGCTGTTTATTTCCTTGCCTATTTGACAAAAGAGGTAGGTGGGAACCCTAAGCCCAATACACAGGAAGGGAACAAATTCCCCTTTCATCTCAAAAGTCCAAAGATGTCTCAGGGCCTCATGAGAGCACCTTGGACTGATTCCCAGATTAGGAGGTTTCCTTTTCAGAGACTTCTCATGAGAAAGGAAAATTCCCCATAAAGCAATGAAGGGAAACTTCCATTTTAGCTTTCTCCTCTGAATTCCAGACCCTGTATTGGCTTCACTTTTAACATATAAGGCACAGATTCCCCTCTTCACCAGAAGTCTTCCTTGTTCTCTCTTCACAAATCCTCCCTCAAGGCTTTTACCTCTAGTTAAATACCTGGACATCTATCTCAAAGCCATTTCTCCATCTCCCCAGCAGCAGAGTCCCTTGATGGAGTCCCACTGCGCCAGCTGTGAGCCTCTCCAGACCACTGACAGAAAACCCGTGGAAGTGCTGGCAAAAATCTCAGCAAAGGAAGGGGCAGGTACTTGTCCTCAGACTACATTTCCCAAGATATTCACTCTCTCAGAGCCAGCCCCTGGGCAGTGAAGATGTCAACCCTAACCTGGTTTCTCCTGGCTCCCGGATGATCCAGGGCCTACTGGAGGCGGGCTTCTCGGGTATTCATTTCCCCCTTTTCCTCACACATCTGGACGCCAGGCACCTGCAGAAGTTAGTTTTTGCAGCGAGTGCTGTTGGACAGAGAAAGGGCCCTGTTATCGGAATGGGTAGCCCAAGGGCACAGGGACGAGCGGCGCTGTCACAGAACCCTGGCCCCTGCCCCCGGTGGGGCGTGGGCGGGACGGGCTCCTGCTCCGGAGTAAGGTTGCTCCCTCCCTCCTTCTTGGCACAGTGCCCTTAGAGAGGATCAGATTTCAGAGACTCCGAGAGAGGCAGAGCTGGAGCAGGGGAATTGAGGTCAGAAAACAGGTTTCCCGTGAATTGGGGCAGGAGCAAGTGAAGAGAAAGGAGCCGCGGGGTAACCTGTGCGCGAGTGACACGGCGGGGACCCGAGGGGCCTGACAGCGACGATGGCGACGGAGGAGACAGGGCGAGGGGCGGGCGCAGAATGTCAGTGGGACCGACCCCCGGGAAAGGCAGCGACCCGGAGGCCGCGTCGGTGCTCCTACTCGCCCCCATAGGTGGCCGGGCCCCCACCCGCAGCCTGGGAAGCCAGGCGTCCCGCCCGCCAGCCGCGACTCCCTCGAGCCAGCCCCACTCACCCCGGTCGGCTTGGCCTGCGGCCCGGTGCCTCCCTCCTGGGCGCCGCCCGCTCCTCCCCTCCCCTCCGCCCTCCGC